GGGGGGGGGGGGGAGAGGGAAGGGCACGCAGAAAAGCGCTGTAGAAAAGCAGAGCAAATTAAGCAGAGCTCTGATCTGCTTGGGTTTGTGCTTGCCAAAAATGCACCATGCATCTTAATTCGCTCTGCTGTTCAGCTCGCACTCACTGCTCTCCTGATGCCATTTCGGCGCTCTGAGCTCAGCCTTTTCAACACTTCAGTCTTCCTCTTTCAGGATTTCTTTTTTTTTTTTTTTTCTGGCAGATATCGATCTTCTTGGCAATTGTGCGCCCCAAGAAAAGGAGGAAGTGGAAAGCCCGGTGCTGTATAAGTGCAATTAGCTTTAACTGGAGAAACAGAAGCTGGAGTTAAGACAAGCTTGCTGGCTGAGTTATGGGGAAACTTCATCAGGAAGTCTTTTCTAGAAAGTCCTTCCTGGGTGCTCTCCAGTCGCTTTTTTCTTTCCCACCCAGCCGTCTGATCTGCTTCTCGCTAGGATCCTCTAAAGGAAGAAAAAAAAAAAATAATGTTGCTGTAATCCACACTGGTTTTTTATTCTCTTCCAGTTCAGTTTAATCTTTCTTTCCTCTCCACCCCTCTGTCCGGATTGAGGGGGGGTGGGGAAGTGAAACCCACCCAACAACCAAGCAAAAGGCAGCATCGTCCTCCTCCAAGAGAGGAAAAGAGCCTGAGAAAGCAGGACCCGAGCCAGAGCCCCTCTGCTCTCCCCCCCCCTCCCCAAATTTAACCCCAGCTGCAACTTTTCCTCCGCTGGCGGGGCTGAGCTGGGGCTCCAGCAGCGCTGGGGTGGGTTTTTCCCCCTCTCTCCCCTCTCCCGTAGATTCCTTTTAGCGGAGAAGGAGGAGGGGGGGGGAGGAGGTGGGGTGGGGAATCCTTTTTATTGCAAAGCCCGGCTGGCTTCGCAAAGCCTTCCTCCTCCTTCTCCTCCTCCTCCTCTGCTTTTTTTGTGCCCGCCGCAGCAGGGCTGGCCAGGCCGGGGGAGGGAAAGCGATGGGAAAGGGGAGGTCGCCCCCTCCTCTCCCTCTGTGTGTGTGTTTTTTTTGCAGGTGTGTCAATTTTAATTCTGCCCAGTAGGTGGGACTTGGTGACTTTCGCACCGGGGTTGGTTTTTTTCTTTTTTTTTTTGTTATTTATTTATTTCCCCGGGCTGCCTCCCCAGCCTCCCGTTGCAATCCTCCGGAGCGGCGGGCGGCGGGCGGCCGGGCCAGCATGTATCCCCGCCCGCTGCCGCTGCCGCTACCGTAGCGGGAATCACAGCCTCTCCCAGCCGGCTGCCAGCATGATTTCATCTGCTGGAGGATTTTTACATCTGATCGCTTGAGGTTTTGTTGTTTTTTTGGGTTTTTTTTTGTGGTGGTTGTTTTTTTTTTTCGCTTTTTCTTTTTTTTTTTTCCTCCCTCTGTCTTTGTTTCCCCTTTTCCCCCCCTTCCCCTCCCTCCATCCCCCCCCCTTTCCTCCTCCTCTTTTTTAGAAGCAGCGATCGGAGATGGATGTCTCTCTTTGCCCTACCAAGTGCACTTTCTGGAGGGTATTTTTGCTCTGGAGCATTTGGGGAGACTATCTGCTTTCGGTGCTGGCTTGCCCTGCTAATTGTCTTTGCAGCAAGACAGACATCAATTGCAAGAAACCGGATGATGGGAACCTCTTCCCTCTCTTGGAAGGGCAGGATTCAGGCAGCAGCAATGGCAACACGAGCATCAATATCACGGACATCTCAAGGAACATCACTTCCATGTAAGTGGGGGTCTCTCTGCTGGTGCAGGGTGCGGGCAGGGCTGTGTGTGCGGGGCTCAGGTGCCCTCGGCGATGCTGCGCTGCCTGGCAGAGCTCAGCCCTGCTGCCCGGGCAGAGGACGCACATCATCCAGCTTTCCTCCTTACCCCATCCATATACCCAAATTGGGCAAGAAAAGCAAGTTCTGAGCTGCTTGTTCTTTTTCGAGACTTTGGATCCGATTAGAATGTCTTTTTTTTTTTTCTTTCATCACCACAACAGAAAATGCTCCCTTCCCTGCTCTGGCTGAGTCTATCTGGGGATCTGCGGTTTCGCCTTTTTAAGGGGAAGGGAGAAAAAAAAAATAGGACAGTGAGATGTCCCTTAAGTAGCTTATTTAACTCGCATTGTTATAATTTTGCAACTCGCCATGGTGCTGCGATAGGATTTGCCTGTTTTCGTCTCGGGGTGGTGGCGGTGGGGAGAAGCATCGGAGCAGGGAGATATTTTTAGTTTAGCACTTTGCGTTTGTTTGCATGCTTGTTTATCTGGAAAATCAACTTGAAGTTGCATTATCCTTGTTTGGAGAGGCAGTTAGCAAAGCCCATGTTAATCTCATCAGTGTGGAGTCGAGAAAGGAATATATTTCCTTCTCCTGAGTCCATCATGCTGTGTGTGTGTGTGTGCGGGGAAAAAAAAAATCCTCATCTCTTCCAATCTCTGCTCTTTATTTTCCAGTACATTTTTGGGTGAGATGAACTCTGAGCCATTTCATTATTCTAATGCTAATTGAAATGTGAGCATTTAGGGAAACGTAGCCCCCAGAGCAAGTTGCCAGTGGGAGTTGAGCAGAGAAGAGGTGGAATCTTTTATTCTGGCAGTTAAATGCAGCAAGGTTTGAAATGAGTAATGGAGGGTTATTTATTTATTATTTTTTTTTTCCACCTCGATGGCACAGTTGCATGGAGGGAGAGGGGCTTTGCTGGGTCTCTTTCCCGAGGCTGTTTTATTTGGTCACAGTGCGATTGCAGCAGAGCCATGGGGTAATTGCAGTGCCTCTTTTGCAGCTCTGCTTGTCACCTTTGCTGGGGGAAGAGGATGGGAGCCCCTTTCCCTGCTTGCTTACAGGTTCATGGATGCCCAAGCAGGTTTTCAGCACATACCATTGACCCTGAACCCCCCCAGCTCTGCCTTTACCTTGCCAGCAAACCTCTGCACACCCAGCAGGAATGGGGAAAGTAAAGGGGGGGAACTAATACAACCCTCCCCTTCCAATTGCCCCATATTTATTCTGCATTGTGGTGCTGGAGTGTTTTCTCTTTGATTCCGGAGGGGTGGGTGATGCTGGGGAAGTCAGAGAAACTCGTGGTGTTTTTTTTTCCTTGTGCTTGCTGTTTGTTGTGGTTTGGTTTTAACCCTTTGAGAGGCGGGGAGCAGCAGGGAAGGCTGCGAAGGGTTTGGAAGCCGCCAGCGTAAGCGGAGTGTGCGTTGTCAGATGCACACATGCATCTGAACTGCTGTGAGAGGTAGTATTACGTGAGTCCTTTGTGCCCAGAAAATGTCTTTACTGCTTTGAAATTGAAAAATGCTGATAAGCAGTCCTTAACAAGGAGAGGGGGGGGAAGTTTCAACTCCAGAAACAGAGATGCTGGGTATTTTTTATTTTTTTTTTGGAGAGGAGCTTCTCTTAAGTTGGGGAAGGATGAGAAGGTGCCAGGTTTTTTTTGCTGGATGTTGTATGCGGCTCTGCTCCACACTGAGCAAAGCACATTCCTTCGCCCCCTGCATTGCTGCCAGCCCCACACCTCCCTCCCTTGGGGGCTTGGGGGGCCAAGGCGCAGGACTGGGGTGAACCCCAAAATACTGTGAGGGGCTGAGACTGAGTATGAGTGGAGACTTTCCCCAGGGGTCTGTGCTTCATGGGGAGGTGGCAGTGATTTATAGAGGATGCTCAAGAGAGCAGAGGGATGTTTTGGGTGGTGGGGCTGCTTCCTGGCAAAGGAATCACTGCTGAGGGCCAGGGATGAACCTGTGTTGGTGCTCTTGCATGGGAGACATTGGGTCCTGCACCCTCCTGGCTCCATCTCAGGCCTCTCCTTGCCAGCCTCACCATCTTGGGTGCTGGGGCGAGGGGTGCATCGAAACCCAGCCTGGTCATCGCTGAATCACTCCTGGCACACGGGTCTGATTCAGCTGGGCACTGAACGGCACTTCCCCCTGCCTGCCACGCTCAAAGGGGGCTTGGCTGCTTTAGGTGGTGAGTTTGTGGCAGCCTCCTATGTGAACACAAAGGCACCTTTGCCCACTGGGCTGGGAGGTGAATAGGGGAGGTTTAACCCCGTCCCCATGGCCGGGGGATGTGGTCCTCCAAGCGGGTGCTCCCTGCAGACCCTGGGGGAGGTGATGGTCTCTCCTCCATCCTGCTGCTGGTGAAAAAGGTGATTGGATATGGGGTGGTGAAGCCACCCTGGGGCCAAGCAGGGCCTTATTCATGTCGGAAAGACAAGCTCAGTTTGGCAATCTGAGCTTGGGTGGTGCTGATGGAAGGCTGCCGGGACCCATTTGGAGAGCTGGAGAAAGGTAGCTATGTGAGCTGGCTTGGTGTCCATCTTACCCCACCCCGAGCCAGGGCAAAGGCTCCTCTATGTCGCTCCACCCTGGCAGGTCCCCCCAGTGTTGGGGGCCAAGTCATCAGGAGCTTGTGGTTATTTCACACCTCAGCAGCTGAAGAGATCCCTCCTCAGCCCCCGAAGGCACAGGCAAGAGAAGAAGCATAGGAGATACTAAGCCTGTACACTACCAGTGGGTGCCCGCAGTGTGGTACCCCCATCATCAAGCCTCCTGTTGAACCCCTCAAATGAATGGCCTTTGCTCCGTTTGCCGCTGCTTCTGGTTTCCCATCCATCCTCTCTCTTTTCAAGGAGAGCAGAGCAGCCGCAGTCAGGGCTGGATGGCTCCTGCCCCGGCTGGACTGGTGGATGGTGGCACACAACCGTCGTGCAAATCCAGGTGAAGCAGCAGAAGGACAGGAGGCTCTTGCCCTGAGATGGAGGAGGAGGTTGGGTTGGCTGTTCTCCCTCTGCCCTTTCCCAGCCTGCCCCCAAACGTGTCCAATTTCAGATCCCATCCCTGGGGATGTGGCTCTGCACACAGAGATCCCTGCGAGAGCTGCCAAGGGTCCTGTCTAGCTGAGGGACCAGCTTCAACCCCATCTGAGATGGCTCCAGTTTGGAGTTATGCTACTGGACTTCCTCCTTCCCGATTTGAGGCGGGAATGACCATGGGGCTGGGGTATGTTCATGCCATCACTTTTCCTTGTGCAGCTTGATGGCCTTTGCTGTGTCCCCAGCCAGGTGTGGCTTGTGGGGATGCTCAAGCTTCCCCTAACCCAGCCTCACCCCTGCAGTGTGGGGCTCCATCCTTTGCAAGACCTCCCTAAAAAGACCAGATGCACAGGGAGAACTTCAATCCTGGGGGGGGGGGTGGTCCTGTGGCACGAAACCCCTTCTGCCCTGAGCAGCTGTGGCGTTTGCCATGTTGGGTCCCCATCCGTGGTACCACGGGGGTCTGTCTGGTACGTGGCCGGGTTTGCCTGTGCTGCCGTGTGTTGGGGTGACGATGGGCAGTGCGTGCATGGGGTGGGCCGGGGAGTTACCCTTCTGGCAGCGTGGGCAGCGCCTGCGTGCGCCGGCACGGCGCGTGGGGAAGGACGGACGGAGGAGTTTGCCATCTGGGCCTCCCCTACTTCTCAGCTGTTGCTATGGCACTGCAGAGATGCTGCCAGGCAGGCGGCGGTGGCCTGCGTTTGTCACCCCTGGGCTCCCTCGAGGTAGAGAGATCTCCCTGGTATTTTCAAGCTTTGCTCCCTTACCCAACCTCGCCAGGGGAGGATGGGTTTGTTTTCTTTTCTTATGATAAAATACCCCAACGGGTGGGTTTGCAGGGTTTATTTTTGCAGCGTGTAGCTGCCTTCCTTCAGGTGAGATGAATTCACAGCAGCTCAAGATGAGGTGGGTCTTCACGGAGTGCCACGGGACGCAGGATTTCGGGGTCTCACAGGGCCAAGGGGAAGGGTCTTTTCCCTCCCATGGACAAGAAGAACCCCATCCTTCCCCGCTGGGCTGTCCCACCAGCCCATGGCAGCATCCGCTCCATCCCGTGGGCCTGGCTGGGGGTGGGAGAACCACGTCAGAGCCGGGCGCCGTGGGGGGACGAGCGGCAGCGCAGCCCCCACTCGCTGCGCGGGAGCTGGGAGCACGTGGCAATGGGGGAGAGTGAGGGGGTGCAGGGAGCAGCAGCAGCACCCCTTCACTGCCAGAGCCAGGAGAGGCAAAGCACCCGTGATGCTCATGCGTGTCTGCATCCCGGACGGAGGGAAGAAAGAAAGGGCAAACATCTCCCTGGAAGGGCTGGAGGGAGCAGAACTTGTTTTGGTGGCCCAAACAGCCAGGAAAAAAAGGGGCTCCTGCGATGCTCAAGTTGGTGCTTGCTTTGCTTCAGACAATAGGGCACAAACTTTTCTCCCCTCTGTGAATCAGCCCCAGCATGCCCAGTGCTGCTGCTCTCCAGAGACGAAGGGTTCAGCATTCCAAAGCCTCCCATCGTGCCATTCCTCCCATCTCCTGGTCTCGGAGGCTTTGGCTGCTGCACAGACCATTCAAAAGGTCCCTAATTTAATCCAGCTTTGTTCAGCAGGGCTCTTATTTATGGAGAGCGGCTGTCCCTAAGGATGTTAGGATGGGGGAGGTGGGTGCAGCAAGAGACAGTGAGGTCAGAAGAGGGTGTGGAGTTGTCTGGGACAAGGAGCTGCACTGAGATATGGTCTTGAAGCTCTTAGAGGTGCCTTAAGCTGGAAGCCCTCTGGTCCTGACTGTCCCCATATCATCCCCCCTTGCATCAGGGGATCAGATCCCTGGTGAGTGCTGCCTGGTGCCCCAGAGGAGATAAACTTGCACTTGGGGCACCCAGGGCTGGGTGCATCCTCTGGACTGGCTACTGGCTCCTTGCCTTACTCTTCTGGC